TCTCCCTCTCTCCCTCTCTCTCTCTCTCTCTCTCTCTCTCTCTCTCTCTCTCTCACACACACACACACACACACACACACACACACACACACACACACGCGTACATGACTATCTGGCCCTCCGCGTTATTTTGGAAAACAAGGGCGATAACATTGGCACATGAGCTCACTGCTTTGCTCTTTTTGGATGGAATCTTGGCAACTGAGCTTTCTGCTTCGTACATGACTATCTGGCCCTCCGCGTGATTTTGGAAAACGAGGGCGATAACATTGGCACACGAGCTCACTGCTTTGCTCTTATTTGGATGGAATCTTGGCATTTGAGCTCTCTCCTTCGTACATGACTATCTGGCCCTCGACGTGATTTTGGAAATTGAGGGCGATAACATTGGCACACGAGATGACTGCTGCTCTTATTTGGATGGAATCTTGGTGCATTTGAGCTCTCTGCTTCATACATGACTATCTGGACCTTTGCGTGATTTTGCAACTCGATTATCTGTCTATCGCTCTCGCTCATATTCGATCGATAGATCAATGGATTGATTGATTGATTGATTGATCGATTGATTGATTGATTGATTGATTGATTGATTGATCCATTGACTGATCGATCCATTGATTGATTGATTGATTGATTGGTTGGTTGATCGTTTGATGGGATGGGGTAAAAGCGAGTTTGGGATGTGGGGGAGGCACTGGCTCTAACAAAAGTCATGCTTTCTTTTGTGCTTCGTTCTTTGCAGGATGCCGAAGCATGCCAGCAAAGGTGTGAAGAAACACTTCGTGGACTTGGGGCCAAATGGGCCCGTGGGTAAGGGAAACAGGAACAAGCAGTGCAAGTATTGTGAGAGGCCCGTCGCTGGCACTGCGAGCAGGGCCAGGGTCCACTTCCTCTTGAACAGATGCAAGGTCGGGCCGTTGAGAGCGAGATTGACGAAGGAGGAGCTGCAAGAGAGGGAGAGGGGGAGAAATGTTGCAATCGCAGAGGTTGGGGGGGCTGTCGGACTCGCTGACGAGCGCTCAGAACAGGATGATTGTGAGGCAAGCGAGGGATGCCCACACGCAGTGTCGTGGGGGCATTTGGATCGAGGACTGGGATGAAGCAGTCCTTGATCACGGACAGTGCCACCATCGTTACAAAGAACGAGGAGACACAACGGGCAGTCGACGATTGGATGACCGCCCACTGCATCCCCTTCGACATGATGAAGAGTGAGGAGTGGGACAACATGGTGAAGGCGTTGATGAATGCGCACGAGTCCTTCAAGTATGTGAAATACGAGAAGGCGAGGACTGCTCGTATGGAGGTCACGAAGGGGAGGGTTGCAGCAAGGGTGGAGGAACTGCTGCGGCAGTGGCCTGTCACCAGTTGCTTGCTGCAACTGGACGGTTGGACTGATCGCAGAGCAAGGCCTCACATCAATGTGATGGTGTCCTTCCCGAAAGGCGCGATCTTTTGGCGTAGTGTGTGCATGAGCAATCGGAGCAAGGGGGCTGTTGCATATTATGAAATACTGAAAAGGGCGATCGAGGAGGTCGGGGAGGATGTTGTTGTGGGGGTGGTCATGGACAATGCAGCAGTGTGCGCAGCGTCAGGCCGGATGATCGAGGCCGAGTTCCCTCACATCTTCTCGATTCCCTGCACGGCGCACAGCATTGACCTCATGCTGGAGGCATTCACCAAGATTGGTTGGGTCGATGTGACGATCAAGCGCGCAGTCGAGGTTGCCAAATTCTTCACCAACCACATGCGTGTGAGGGACCTGCTGCTCTCCAAATGGAGCGGGGAAATTGTGGCGAAACCGGGCGCAACCCAGTTCACCACAAATTTTATCGTGTTGAACAGTTTGCAACGCCTCTACCTGCCTATTCGATCTTGCTTGATCGATGAGGCGTGGAAGGAGAGTATCGCCAACCCTGCACAGCGGCATTTGTTCCATGCAGCCAACGAGATTGTCCTCGACAACGCGTTTTGGGCTGGTGTGCAGAAGGTGTTGGAGACCTCGAAGGGCCTGCTGAGTCTTTTGAAGTTCGTGGACGGGGATGACCCCACGATCAGCAAAATATATGGCCGCATGGACACCTTGGTGGAGAATTTGAGAGAGAGCAAGACCTTCACGGAGGTGGAGAAGGATGAGCTGGAGACCATCATCATGCGACGATGGAATGTCATGACATCTCCGCTGCATTGCGCAGCAATGTTTTTGGATCCCGAGTACAAAGCCAGCAAGCCGGAGCAAGATCTTGAGGTCGCAGATGGGTTTTGGACGTGGGTGTACGCTTGGTGCAAGCCAGTGATGTACAAGGAGGTGGATGATGAGGTGAACAATTGGATGGATGGCGTCGGCAAGTTCAGGTCGAGAAGGCGACACAAGAAGCACGCGGGATGCAACCTGCACGGTGGTGGAGGAAATGGTGCAGTGAGCTGCCCCACCTCCAAAGGCAAGCAATCCGATTGCTTGGCCAGGGTTCCTCCTCCTCCAGTTGTGAACGGAATTGGAGCCTTTTCGAGCTCATCCACTCCCGCCCGCGAAACAGGCTCGAAACGGTGAAGCTGAGCACCTTGGTGTACAACAGATGGAATCAACATATGTTGAAGAAGTTGACGAAGAAGCCCAAGACGGGAGAGGATGAGCTTTTGTGGGAGGAGGATTCGGACCTCGAGAAGAAGGAGGTCCAAGCGCATGCGAACATGCGTGTGGAGGAGTGGCGGAGAATAGGAGAAGGGAATGCGATGATGAGTCGGAGGAGAACGACAGGGGGGAGGAGGAGGATGGCGATGTCGCAGATGCGGTCGAGGTGGAATAATGGAGAAGAAGGACAAATGGTACGCACACGGATCCAGGGCAGTCTCCGTGAGCTTGAGCGTGAGCTCAACGATTCTTGGCGGAAATCAACGAGGGCGTCCAAGTATTTGGCTCGCCTTCATTTGGGGGAGTTGCAGGAGGCTGTGAAGACCATGAGTGAGGCACACACAGAAAAATTTATGGCTGCCCGGCCGAAGGCATCAGCATTGGCACCGAAACCGGCCAAACGTAAACCGGGGAGGCCACGAAAGGTTGTGGAGGAGGGGGCTCTAATCGAGGATGGTGGTGGTGCCATTGAGAATGGTGCGGAGGAGGAATGTTGTGAGTCCCAAGAGCAGCCCGCCGGTGCTACACCCAAACCGGCGAAACGCAAGCCGGGGAGACCACGAAAGGTCGCGGAGGAGAAGACTGCTGCAATGGAGGAGACTGCTGCAATGGAGGAAACTGCTGCAATGGAGGATAGCGGCCGGACTGGTGAGAATGGTGCGGAGGGCAAGGAGGGGGACGCCTTTGATTCTGAAGAAGAGCCGCTTGCACGCAAGAAACGCAAACAATCAGAGTCAACAGACTGAGGCGGGATACTTGGGGGTTGGAGCGAGTGTGGAACTGACACTTGGGGGCTGGAGCGGGTGTGGAACTTTGCTCTATGTGTGTGTGTGTCATGTGTGCCGGTTCAAGATTCCAAGTTTCAAACTTCGAGGTCGGAGAACTCGGGGTGTTAATAAACTTAACATTTCCAGTATGATTAATATTGAAGTCATTAGCACGTACGACCAGTCCCACAAACCTGTATGTGTTTGTGTCCCGGTTTTTTTTTTTTTTTTTTTTTTTTTTTTCTCCAATCTGGACAACCGGACATCGACACTTCAAACCGGACTGTCCGGGCTTGGATGTCCGGATGTCCGGTTTGATGTCCGGTTAACCGGACGTCCGGTTCGATCCAGACACGGGTTTGGTGTCCGTGTCCGGTTGTCCGATTGTCCGGGTCCGGAACAACCATGGTTTGACCTCTTCTTCTAATATCCACGGGTTGCAGAATAAGGGTTGTCTGAGGATCTCTTCATTGTTTTGTGGCTTTCTTACTTTAGAAGGGAAGATTTCTCTCCAGGCTTTGATGAGATTCCTCCAGAAATTTATTCTTGCCTCCCCTTTGGAGTGAGGTGTATTCGTTGATCTGCTTTTCATTGACCATGATTTACTCATTAACCAAAAGGAGCCTTCCATGTTCGATGGTGTGCTGTAGATCGGTAGGCCTTGGATTCCTTCTAGAGCTAGTGTCCTCCATGGGAGACTGGGTGAGGTTAGCAATTTTAAAATCCACATAGTTTGAAGAGCCTTTATTTGAGTTATTGGGGCAAGAACCCCCAGTCCTCCTTGATTTTTCTTTCTTGTGACGTATTGCCATGCGACCTTGGTTATGAAATGTTGTTTGGATGCATCTCCTGTCCATAGGTAGGCTGTGACCTTCCTTTTAATCTCTTTTATGGCTTTGTGTTCAGGATTCCAAAATGTTGCAACATACCACATCATTGAGAAGATAGAAGAGTCCAGAATCAGGGCCCGTCCAAATAGTGAGTTGTGTACCTTCTCCCATGAATTGAGTTTTGTGATCATCTTGGCGAGCAGACTAGGGGCCATTTTTGTCGCTGCGCCAGACTCATTTAGTTGTATTCCTAGAACTCTCATTGGGTCAGCGGGATATGTCCATGTCATACCTTCTGGTGTACTTTGGGAGGGTTCGCCGTTGTCGTTTGTTAGCCACCATCCTACGGTTTTTTGCCAGTTGATCCACATTTCAGAGGCTAACTGATAAGCACTCATCGCTCTCATGAGGGCCTCGAAGGGGGAATTGGTGGCTCTTATTAACACTGTTAGATCATCGACGAAAAGGATGGTGGGAGGTATGATGTAGTTGTGGAACTTGTGGGTATTCTCATCGGATGTTGAGGAGATTCTTTCTATGGAGGGATCCTTTCTGAGAAAGGAGGCTATTGCCTCCATGATAAAGAGAAAGATCGGTGTTGCAAGAGGATCTCCTTGCCTCACTGATCTTGACATTTTGTAAGTATTGGATATGTGTCCGTTTACATGTACCGCTCCATAGGCATCATTGTATAGAATCTTAACCCACTTACGAAAGATGGGTCCCACCCCCATTTTCTCCATGCATTGTTGTAAAAAGTTCCAGTTAACCTGGTCGTAAGCTTTTTCAAAGTCAAAGAAGAGGATAGCCGCATGAATTTTCTTGTCACTGATATATCTTACTGATTCTGCTAGTGTCATTACGTTATCTCATATGAATCTACTGGGAATGAAACCCGTTTGGTCTATGTGGAAACAAGATTTGGTTATGTTTCTTATTTTATTTTGCTAGGAGCTTGGCTAGGATTTTGTATGCAACCGTTAGTAATGTAATTGGTCTATACTTCCTGATGTCTGTAGGGTCACCTTTTTTGTATAGTAGTGTGACTATTCCTGTACTTAGGTAGGGGCCCAATCCTTCATTAGTCTAGGCTGTTCTGGCAAACTTGCAGAATTCTTCTCCCAGTAATGGCCAGTAGGCTTGCCAAAATTCTTTGGATAGACCGTCTAGCCGTGGAGTTTCATCGAATCCAAAACTTTTTTGATTTCTTCGTTAGTTATAGGCATGTCCAGTTGGCTAGCCAGGTTGGGTGGGATTGTTTTGTCTAGATGCTTGGTAAATTTCTCTCTTGCCTGAAGTACTGATCTTGGTGCTGGTTGTTCAGTTTTAGAAGTACAGAGATTTTTTAAAAAGGTTTCTGCTATAGCTACCATTTTTGTTGGGTTTGACGTAAGTCCTTCTTCACTTTTAAGTTGGTGAATGGCTGCATTTCTCCCCCTTGCTTTAATTTCCTGAAAAAAGAACTTAGTCATTTTTCCTCCTTCTTCCCATTCTTTGATTCGAGCTCTCATGCGTAGGCCTTTCGCCTTCCAAGCATTCCAGTTGGTTAATTCGGCTTTAGATCTGACCAGTAGTTCTTCGTAGGTTGTTTCTCCTGGGTTGTTTATGATGTTTCTTTCTGCAAGATTGACTGTTGCCTCCAACTCCTTCATCCTTTGGTCTCTTCTGGCTGCTATTTTCCTCGAGGTTGAAGAGGCTGTTTGGGATAGATTTGCGACTAGTGTTGGGAAGTCTGCACCTTCTCTGTCTGCTTTTATGCATGCATAGGCTATTGCTTCTTTCATTTCTTTAGTATGCAGTAGTGAATTGTTGATTTTGAAGAAACTCGTTCCTTTCTGTAGCCCCGGGTCAAACAAAAGGTTAGAAAGATAGGAGTATGGTCCAAACCATTGTGGTAAGGGTGTTTTCCTAATCCTATGCCATGGATTGCACCTCTAAGCGTCTGGGATATGAGGAAGTAGTTTTTGTTGAACTTGTTATATGTTGGGATCTGTTTTTCTTTCTATATGTGTATCTGTATGATTCTGGTTGTATTGTGCGTAGTGGTTCTATTAGATCCTTTTCTATCATTAGTGCTTGTATTACTTGTGCCTCTGAAAGAAGTGTGTCTTCTCTACCTCTTTGTGAGGAAGAGATTTTGTCTCTATCTGGGTCTAGTGTGGTGTTCCAGTCACCTATCAATATGAGGTGTTTCTGGGTGTTATATCTAGCTGCTATATTCTGTATGAAGGTTTGTCTTTGGGTAAAATCATTAGGGGCATAAACGTTTATTAATTGGAAACTTTCGTCCTTGTAGGTGAATTGTAGATCTATCCATCTACCTTTTTGTTCATCTGTTATAACTTTTGATACGTTAAGCGATTTGGCTGCTTTTGAGTTTTGATGTCTGAGAATGGTTGTACCTGATGAGCTTGTTCTTGAGGATGTGGCCCAATACCCGGTGTGGATGTATTTTAATCTTGATAAGATTTTCTTGATTGTTGCCTTGTGCTCGATTGAGTCAGTTAAGTGGGTTTTTTGGAGGCATACTATATCTGGTGGATTCTTGGTGAGCCAGTTGAGGTATTTGGTCATGTTGTCCCATTTGTCTGTATTGGATAAAATTGTGGCCAAACCATTAACATTCCGTGACATTACTGTTAATTCAGGCACAGTAGATTTCAGAGTGTATGTTTTGGTGCTTTGTGGGACCTGTGCCTGTGCTTGTGAGGTTGGTAATGTCATGGGGTGTTAATTTGGGTTGGCTTGGGGTCCCTTAAGTGATTTGGCTAGTTCAGGGTGATACCGGCCTGCTGGGTCTGGCGTGATTTGGTTCTGCAAGCTGCCGAGGCCAGTACCTCCTGCAGGTGTTCCTCCTCTCCCACAAAGAGGTCATGCGCCTCTACTATTGCTGCTGCAATTGCAGCCCTTTCAGCAGGGGCGTCTCCTCCCATAAGTCCATAAGGAATTTCCCTCAGCACCTTCTATGGTTTCCATGTGTGGTGGTCATAAAGTTGAGCCTCCATCGAGTACCGGGCCATGAAGGGTCTGAGCTCACTTGTCACGATGTCTCCTGAGGGACTGAACCATTCTTCTCTCCATTCCTCTCTGGGACCTAGAATATGGGACTCCAAAGAAGCGGTCTCTAACACTTCATTAGACATCACTTTCTCTAAAGGTTTGGCCAGTGCTATTAATGACTAGTCCTTGTTGAGCGCCACTTCCCAATCTCAGTGAGTCTCGTTCCACCTGTAGGGAATCACTATCCTTTTCTTGCAGTCCTCTTTAACTTCTAGTCTGGCTGCTGTGAAAATTTTTGTGGTCTTGCCTGCAACTAGGCTTTGCTGATTGACTGCGCCTTCTGCCATGTCCCTGTTCTGGTCCTTGAGGACCGTGATTTGGGCTTTGAGGACTTCAGTTTGCCTGTCCAGGTCCTCTTTTGTGCTGAGTTGGATCACTTCCTCTTCTTCTGTCCTTTCCTCTGTTCTGACCATTGTGTTTCCCTGTGCTCTGCCCTTTGGGCCTTTTGCTCTTTTGGCTGGTCGTCTGTTGAAAACTGTCAAGTATGATTTTGGCCATCCTCCTCACTGTGCTCACCGTGATTGGCATCCCTGTCTGCCCTGCCTTCGCCCATTTCACTCGTGTTCCCTTCAGTTGCGCCGATTTTGCCCCTTTCTAGGTCCTCGTGTTCATTCCCTTCCTTTGCTGTTCCTTGTGTGACTGCCTTTGAAAGATCCATTGGGTCTGCTGTTTCAGGCTTGTTGCCTGTACTCGTGTGGCTGTCTTCCACTCTGCTGATTTTGCTTGTAGAATTTGTGCCAGTTGGTGAGGAAGGAGGAGCATGGTCCGCCTTTCTTTTGAGCGGTTTTGCTTGCTCTATCTGTGAGGTGCTTTTCTGACTTCCTGTTTGGATGTGCTGACTTGCCTGGACTTTTTCTGCCATCAACAACTTCCCTCTAGCCTGCAGGTTCTCGACGTAGGCCTTTTCTGTCGAGGTTTCGATATTTATGAGTTTTGAAGAGTGTCTTTGCGATGCTTGTCTTCCATCACACTCTGGATGTCCAAGATCTGTTTTTTTAGAAAGCCGCCATCTTTGTCTTCTATTCTTTTGGAGCCCTTTTTCTGCCATTCACTCCCATGAGGGGGGGTAAATGTCTGGTTGGACTGTGGGTTCGCCTTTCATGACCCAAACCCATTTAGGGGCATCCAAAGTATCATCAAAGACCCACCCTCTGTATGTGGGATCATTGACGTGCCACAAACCTGCTTTTTCCTCGCATTCCACCAGATTGGCCTGGATTTGACCTGGTTTGCCTGCTCTGTCCCTGTTGAGGGGGC